ACGAATAGACACCTATTAGTCTCGCGTGACTTCGAATCTTTGAAAAAGCCAGCCAATCGAACCGCACACATTCGCTCTACTGACTGCGATCCAAGCAACCAGAACAGCTTCAGCAAGCGAACTCAGAGCAATGCCATCACCAGCTTGGCAGGTGCTCGAAGCAGCATCTTCACTGGATAGGCGCAATGAGAAAATACTGCTGGTGTCAACTGAAAGGAATCGCTGAGTGAGCACAGAGCTCTAGTCTTGCAGGCAGGTCTCCGATAAACAGCAGGTAGAGATGGAGAGTTTCTCTAAAGTTCGGGCAAGTGCTGCCTGTTGACCGTTCTGTAGCAATGTGCGTACATTGAGACGTGCCAATCTGAAGGAGGATCGAGGGCTATAAATGGAAACCGATATAATCGGATTGACCGCTTGGATGTACACGGTCTTGTGGACAGAGCAGGAGTGACACTCCGCGTTTGCATGGGAGTTGACACTGGAAGATAAAAGCCTCAAAAAGTATCTTGTGCGAGGGCTAAGTATCGGCGGGTGGGGTTTAAAACTGGGGGAATAAAAATGGAGCTAGAACGGGACCATAAGGGGAAAGAAGCATAAGAGGAGAAATAAGAATATGAGTAGGCTTGATCAGTAGCATCCAAACCCCTATCCACCCTGCACGATGCAGCAGCTAGGGCACCATTGCTTATCCTCTGCGGTGGCCAGAGCAACAAGAATTTGTTTGACGAAAGGTTCATAGTATTGCGTGGGCAGGGTACTGTCAGGTGGGTCAGGACTAGACAGGAGGCCGATTAGGGTTCTCAACCAAAGCCTTTGGTTCAAAAACCTGACCGCGGGTTTGGCATAAGGCTACAAGGAGACCATTTCAAGGTATATGGAGACATCCTCATTCCAAACCCCAACCTGGAGGACCAGGAGGCTGAGTTTTCTAAGCACATGGAGTAGCGTTATCGGACGATAATTGGTTGGGTCAGTGCGACAACCACCCTTGTGCTTACGAGTAATGACCCCTCGCTTCCATATTGTTGGAATATGGTTCTCCTCCATACAGTGCTGATATAATATAGCCAGAGATTCCTCTAGATCAATGACGGCTGCCTGTAAAGCCTTCGGTCGAAGGTTCTCGATACCAGGAAAGCTGTGGATGGGCAGAGACGACAGGTTCTTTGACACAGTTTCGGCGGTAAACCTGATATTTGATAAAGCTGACGGTGAGATGTTAGAAACAGGTGTAACCATTTAGCCCGTTACTCTCTAGAACATTATGAATAATGGAATCGTAAAAGATAGGCTGCTTCCGTTGCCGATCGAGTACACCATTCAGTTGTGATCAGTGTTGGAATTCTATGTTACACCTTACGAAGTTCATTAACATGCCTGTAGAGGAGTTTGCGGTTCGTGCTCTATCTCTTCATTAACTCCTGCTGATGTTTCACCTTGTCCTCGCGGATCAAACTCAGAATTCGGAATTCGGGGAGTGATTGTGAGGTCTCCATGCTAAGTCCCTCAAGGATATGCATTTGCGTGTTTTGCTTCGCATAAAGGACTTCCTTCTCCTTTGACGATGGAAGGATTTCTGCCTAGACGCGTGTGTTAACAGTGTGGTAAATGTCCTTGTGAAAGGTTCCCAGATAATTTCTGGGTGGCATTAAGTTAAGAAGGTCCAAACTACCTCTTAAACAAACGCGGATAACACGTAGTGCGTGACCGTATATACTTTAGCATCCTATTTTGCAGAATATTCTGCATGACATACATATTTACACAGTACAGTCACATGGTAATTGCGACACACGGGTATGATAATTATTCCGTTGACCAGTTGAAATGGTAGAGTCTCAGGTTAGCCCTTTGGCTAAATGAAAATAGATTACTACAGGCCTGCTTTGGGTTCGCCAGTATTTGGTAGTTCCTGATAAAATCCCCTTTGCATGTGCCGGTATTCACCATTACGCAAGTCTAGTGGGTTATTAGGGGAGGTAAAATGTTTTTAGAACGATTTTAGCCTCACATCATTCGATGTCATTTTTATCTTTAATTGTTTTAACCAAGGCAGCCACCGGGAGATTTACCGCAAGATTAAGCCTAGGCTTTTGACGTTTTACGCGTAGTGGTTATAAGCATGGGGTGGAAGCGATGTCCAGCGTGTTTAGCTACATACCCGTTAGACTAAGATACGGTTGCGAACCTTGCGATGGACTTGGTGGTCAAATTATAGAGCTCAATAGTGAATTAAACTATTATGAGTCCTTTTGAATCCGTGATTCGTTAACTGAGATGTTTGGAACGCAGTGCAGTTACATCCTGTCAGTGAATGACATCAACCTTAAGTTCTTTTATCGCGTGTCAGAGGACAAACAAAGTATTATATGACGAACAGCATGGCAACGGCTAATGGATGGCTCAAATATGAAAAACATACTTTAGTAGGTTGTTATTTATGAGCCGGAAACCGAAACAAATTATGAGCTTTAGTTAACGGTCGGTGTTTAAATGGCGGGTGAAAGACACGCAGCTTCACATTTGGTTCGACATTTGAGAGCTTACATAAGAAAACTACAAGGCCAAAATGTACTTTTTTCCAACATATGTACAGGAAAGGACACAATTTAAATCTGTCGAAGCTGCTGTTCGGTATGTAGAAAATGACAGTCTAGGTGTATGTGGCAGAAGGGTTTAAACTTGGACTTTGTTAGACACTGGCAATGAAGACAAGACGTGGTTGAGTTTGGTGGATGGTGTATAATGTATGAAAGCCTTGTTGACTGTGCGGCGTTCGGTAACGTCCACGGTATCGATCGTTTTACTGCTTTCAGATGAAGGCGTCGCAGCTGAATAGCCCTGGTGCCACAACGCATTGTTGTGATACCAAAAAGTTCTGATAGTATGCGGAATTATAGTCCATACTCCTTAGGTTGCTGTCGAGGAGCAGATGCATTTGGATTTGCGGATCCGTTGAGCCACTTTGAGCGAAAGGCTGTGTTTCTCGCTGGTATGTTTAGAGAAGCGGCAAGAAGCTCCTCTGCCGTTGGCACAGTAGCTCGAGAATGATCTGGTAGAGCTTTTTTGCCAGGTTCATCTCTTTCAGGTTGGAGCAGCACATCACCTTGTGAATCCCCGAGTGATTTATTACTAGTGTCTGCTTTGAGTGGAGTGTCTGGGGGCCGACTTTTTGATGGATAGTAACCATGACGGATGTAAAAATAAATATCGTCTAGCTCCTCGTAGGCACGATAAATTTCTTCTTGTGTCATTTGAGATTCCCCGGAATTCGGTTTAGCTCGATTGGTTTGTCTTGAAGTGTATGAATCCCTGGGTTCCCTAGTGACATCCTGCATGTGCCGCAAAAGGTAATTGAGGGAGTCTTTCGGATGGCCAACAGCCAGAAAGTTGGTTGCTTGTATTCGATGATTCGCTAACAATTTCAAGTACGCTGGATCATTAGAAGTGCCTAAACGGAAACAGTGGTCGGGAAGCATGGAAGGTGTGATTAAAAATAAGCGTTCGGGACACGACACGGGAGAGATGATCAATAAATCGCCTCGAAATATTGATTCCAGTCTCAGGTAACCCTGTTCACTAAATGTGATACCAGGTAAACCAGATAATCCGCAACTAAGCGAGGGGGGAGCAGCAGGTGGGTTGGATGAAAGAAGACGTGAACCATTCGGCTTGGAATAATTATTCGTAGTCTCATGCACACACACTGGTCTGATAGAAAGTGGTAACCGGAATTTTCTTAGAATACTGGCTAAAGAATGTACACCAGATATGTTTTCTGGTCCGGCCACGGGGCTGAGTGCGAATCTGGCTGGCAATATGGCAGGTGTTGTTTCCTCTAACCCGATGTAGTAGGCTCTAGTGCATGGAGCAGTCTGACTTGACTGTGTTTCACTGAGATGGCGTTTCTGTGTATCAGAGGACCGTCGTGTAAGAAGCAATAATCCTAATTCCTTGATTTTACGACCTCTTTTTACTTGACATCGCGGTAAATATGCGATATAGTTCATCAAAGTACCAGCTGGTAGAACTTCTGGCGAGGAAGCCTGCAGTGTCTCAAGGGAGGATGCTTGAGCAAGCAGATTAGGGGGCAACGGTAACCCTGATGAAGCATCTGAAGGCGCGCGCTGATCTTTCGTTTGAGGAATGACTAAGCTGGACGGAGCAGCCAAGCATTTTAAGTCCTGTCTGATGAGTAGAGCCGCGGGTTTTGTCCGACGAACTTGTTCAACCGTAGTTAGATGAGGTATGGGTTGCTGGTTTTCATTTAATATTTCGTACCAGCCTCGACATTGGCGAAACACGAATAGTTTGCACTGAACCTCCGTAGTAGTTCCGGCGTATTGCGGACTCCTTTCATAATGGTGGCTTATTCGTGTGTGGTTCTTGGGGGCTTGACTCCACAAACCCCAAAAAGCGGAAGCAAGCGACACATCTAGCACCGGAAACAACAGCAAACTGTCATGTCCACAAAGAGCACATTTGCATCCAGAACGTTGTGACACAGCCTTTAGCAAATATGTCGAACCAATGGGCATTTTGCGGAACTCAGGCATCAATTCTTCCATTGGGAGAAGTGCTTCCGTGTTCCACTGTATCCCAATTTGGATGGTTGGGGTTGAAAGTTCGGATGAGCTAGCAGGTGGAAGGAATAAAAACGATGAAGTAAGTCCCGTTGTAGCGCTGGACAACATTGCAAAACTTGGCGGGAAATGTTTGGGTGTCAACCATAGTACGGAATTTCTAGAAGCACAACCAATATAGTGTGATGTATATAATGAAATAAAAGACATCTAATCATACTAAAAAAGTTAGACGTCAAAATAAAACGGCTACTATTCTTAGAATCTTTATTTACACCGTCCTAATGTCGGAAAAATAAATACGGTCAACAAGTCGTTTCTAAAGGATTCAATCACTTTTTAAGTTCCTATTATCTCAGCTTGGTGTATTTGCACAAAACAAACTGGTTTAGCGTGCAAAGTCAGCGCTTATGTGGCACAAGCCCTCAGAGTAGAGGTCGCGACCGTCTCTTGAGCCGAACCACCAAATGACTCTGTTTGCGGCAATCAGTGAGGAAAGTTTACAGCTGACCGTTGGCCACGTACAAGATAAGCGCGACTAACTATATGCATTACTGCTCTTGTTTGAATCATCAGGTCAACTTTCCTGTTGTAAGTCATGACGGTCCTCTGCTGTTCTCCACGACTTAGTGACATGCTGCTGGCTAGCTGCGCAAGCACCTGCTAAATGTGGGTTCTAATCCTCATGGAAGAGCCCCGATAGGACAAAAGGTCCGTTTGGTGTCTTTTAGGGCATGTGAAAACTACCTAACTTGGAAGCTGCTGAAAAGTACCCGTAATTGAGCCCATCATTCTATCAACGGTTTCGAAATAATTTAAGGGATCATGGTGAATAGTGGTCAGCAATTACTTTAGTGTGAATTAGACAAGAAGCATTATCATTCGTCGGTAGTGTTAAACCAGTTTACTACGCGAAACTTCAGGTAATAAAGCAGAAGGATATAAGATAATGCTCAAATGTCCCTGAATCTACCGCCATCACATTGCGGGATAGGTTAGCAGACGACCAAGACCAATGGAACTCAACGTGTATGCAGATGAGTATCAAAGCCAAGCCCATAAACTTGTTACAATTACTCGAGGAACATCCAGTGAGATACGTATCTATCCTGATGTCCCTTGGAGCGCGCGACAACCAAAACGAAACACCAAAGAGGGGCACAGCAAGCAAGACCGTCTAAACACAATCTTCATACATGGCGTGCCAGAACATCCTTCTAACCATGTTCAAAAGACCTGAAAGCACGATTTAGAACAGTGGCGGTTCATTCGTGAAACACTTTCTTTGGAAAATGTTGTAGCACTATCGCTCACCAGGATACCTCTATCATCGAATCATAGAGGATGCGGCCCCAGAATCCTAAGTCAAAAGCAAATCTCTAATATTTGCGTGTAACCCTTGTAATTTGCACTAAAGAATAGTTTTTGATAAATTGCTGCTCTCGGTATAGTTCAGTAAACGTACGACTAAGTGAACAGAACTTGGTGTGTGTGTGTGTGTGTGAGCAACGATATGAACTGTTGTTGTGTATGAAAACGATAAGGACGAAAATTTATGATGAGTGAGCTGGGGTCAAACTGAAGCGTGTGTGTGTGCATGGCTGCAAAGCACTTAATAAGTATATCTGCAGCTTTCCGAGAGACAAAGACTAGAAAGTAGTTAGAAAACTGACATTTATCCCTTACGTACGGAACCACGAGAAATCGACCACTAAACAAACACTCGTCTATCCCAGTAATTCGACGGAAAATAGTGCAATAAAAAGCAGTTAAATGCTTTTACAAACCAAAAATGTTCAATGAATACAACCTCATTATCTGTCATTGAGTCAACACACTAGTGGACCCGGTTCAGTTGTCTTCGTGCACAAGACACCAGACTGTAAACATTTTTACGCATGTTGGCGGAACGTGACCTGGTTATACTGGTTCAAGGTGCTTTTCTTTGACCCAATCAATCAGGTGAGGAATCGAGAGCTCTTAACCGACTAGTTGGACAATCGGAAAGAACTTATTGACATAGATAGACTTCTCCATTCTCCATCAAGTGTGCAGTCTTTACAGAGATCCACACGTCTAATTTTAACTTCAGCTATGGTAGCTCTGTTAGTGCATGAGCTCCTTACTCGTACGATTTTCAGCATCGTACCAACTCTATGTGAACAGAGATTGAAATCCTTAGTTGCTTCGGTGGACGGTATGGCTAACTACTAGGAGAAATTATACTGGACCATCTGATTCCTAATAAATCAACTCATCTTATCCGTTTTTTGACTGAGATCAGCAGTAACATCAATCTGGGAAGCCATTCTCTACAACGTTGAGGGTAGCAATGTCGCTTAAAATGATACACCAAAATGTCCCTCTTTTAGCGCAAGCTATTCCTGGAACACCCCCACCAAATCCCCTCTGCACTGTGCCTACCCTGACAATATTAAAAAGTGGATGAGGGACGCAATTTATTCTCTATATTCCAGCACTTATTGCTCCACTTTCTCTCGAATTCTAAAATAGAACTTTGGCTTTATTAGCTTCCAAATATTTACGGTCATAATCAATAAGGAGAGTAAAAATAATGTATCACGTGGCATAAAAGAGGTGATCGGTGCTTACTAGAAGGTGTGCCATATTTTTCTTCTGTTGCGCTCGCTAATACTCTGGCAGATGCAATAATTTTAAATTGTAACGCAAACCCTCCTTCACGTGGATTACAGAGAATCAGAGTGTAGGTGGTGAAGCAACGTAAATTTGGAGCGCCGAGATAAAGCTATCAGTCCTTGGTCCGCTGCTGTTTGCTGTGTACGTTAACGAGCTGCCAGAAATCCTGGAGGTGCCTACTCACATGTTTGCAGGCCACGTGAAGTTCAGGTGTATGGTGAGCGACTCTAGTGACTCCCATATTTTATAACAAGCTGTCGACAGACACCTTGACTGGTCTATTCTGTGGCAGATGCCAATAAACCACACAAAGTGCAGAGTTATGCGCGTATGATCAAATGGCCCGAAGATGCACTACATGCTTGGTAGGAACGAATTATCTCATGGATTCCAACAAGTTAACTTAGCTGTTACGTTAGCTCCGGACTTCAAATCCAGAGAGAACTAGAAACGAGCGGTTAGCAAGGGTTTCCAAACCCTCTGGAAAATCCGTAAATCATTTAAGGTACTGAAGGAAGAAATGTTTATTATCGTGTTTACGACCTCTGTTAGACCGCACCTGGAGTACTGCGTCCAGGCTTGCCCTCTTTGTCTGACTCGTGACAGGATAGTGGTAGAGGGAGTCATGAGGAGTGGTACCAAAATCGTTCGAGGGCTGAAGAACCTGTCCTACCTTGACAGACTGCTCAAGATATGAATGTTCTCGCTACAATATCGCTGTATTCGAGACGATGTAGTCCTTACTTATCTTATACCAACAGAGCGGATCGGCCTAAACTTATCCTGGCTTTTCCATGCTGCTCATTTACCTATTCTTTGTAGGAACCCCTCAAAGTTGCATAAATTCCGGTCTCATCGGATTCCGGCTGACACCCGTTTGTCACGTAGGGTGATCACTTCCTGGAAGGCCATACCCGAGGACGTGGTATTGTCACCAATGGTTAGGGTTTAAAAGTCATCTTGACACCTTCGATTTGCAGCAGCGAATGTTCCCTTTCTCTCCTTAGTTTTTCTTGCGATTTCTCTTCAGTCCCTCACCATCTTAATTACTCGTACTAAATTCCTCCTTCAAATTTTATATCTCTCCCACTTTATGCCTAGACTGCAATGCTACTCTTTCTTTGCTTATTGCACATGGCCGGCGCAGCGGGGGTTGCTGGCGAAGGGCGCCTGGGTCTTGATTAGATGACCATGACGTATTCCGAAACTGCTGCTTTTGGCTCATACAATTGGCCAATCGTACACTGAACTCGAACCTAGATCAATGACACATTCATGATGGAGCTGCAATGAGACTCTACTTTTGTTCCTTCCCCATTTGAAGGACAGCTGTTAGGTCGAAATGATAACTTGCCCCGGAAGTTCATTGTTCTAGTATTGTGAATTTGCGCATTAATTCAATTAGCAGTATCTGTTAGTTACACCGATATAGCAAAGCAATTGCACCTTGTAACATTTTTATCGATCGGTCTAGCTTCAATTTGCGATGACGTCAACAATCGACTTCTGTATCGTCAATAATGCTATTAGCCATAACTCCCATCGCCCTGAGAAGCATCCAGCAGCAAATTAAGCAGGTTATTTGGAAACCAGAGGGCATCCATGCAAGTCTGTTATGTCAAGAATATTTGAGAATAGATCCGTTCAGAAAAGCGGTAAAAACAACAGCTGGGTTTGAATGGCCCTAACTAACACGCACTTTCACTACCGCGGCGACGTACGCAACTAGGATTGCGTCATCCAGCAAAAACTAAGTTTTCATCCGGAATAAGAGCTTGATTACAGAATAGGTTAAGGGATACATCAAGCTAGATTTATCGGACATTTGAATCCTTTATATTGCGATGGGAAAGTTTGGTCTCATAAAGGAAATATCAAGTGTTTATAGAACTCTCACGAGGTTTTGCTACCATAATGGTTTTCATTCGATGGTGATTAAAGAGAATTGTGTGTATAAACATCGACTACTTGAATTTTGAAAAGCTGAATTGCACGGAGCTAAAAGCGATTATTCCTTGTTGTTTTGTTAGTTCTTTGTTAAGTTACTAATGTATTGAAGACAAGACTTGTTGAATTTACGTGATGAACAAAGTATCTCGCGAAAAATACAATAAAACACTGACCGAAGCTGTTTACTTTCCTAGGCTACTGTACAAGTTCTTGAACACATAAAACATTTCTATCATCTGTACAGTAGAAACATCACTATACAACCAGCCTCTGCCTTGAGACTGATACGCACGGAGCATCACTTTATTATCTTTGTGGTTGGAAGCAAGCAGATCATTGTGCCAACTACTTAGACAAACTCTAAAACGATCTTCATCAAACTCCTAGTCAGTGGGCTGTACCATCATTTCAAATGTGCAGTGAAATTGCATTGGTGCAAATAAAAGTAAATTTCTCACCCACCTGCCATTTTCGGATTCACTGGAAACCCATCCTTGCTCCCTCAAGCTGGTAATTCGACTTGGCTGCTCGGATCGAACATTGTGCATGGCTTGTTTATGCTCGTCATCAGAAGTTTCGTCGCCATGTTGTGTTGAAGTACTCTCATCTTCATCTGACATAGATGTTCTCAATGTTCCTTGATCTCCGACAGCTTTTTCGTCGACGGCGGAAAGTGATAGCTTCATAGTGGTTGAGCCAGACGGATCACGATAAGTGGATCCCATCATAACAGGGGAAACACCAATGCGATCGACAAAATCTGCCGGCAATGCGGCCTTGGCTTTGTCCAGACTACGACGAATTCGCAAAGACCGGCGTTCAAACGCAGCAACGGACTCTGCTACGAGGGGCTCTGCGTCATCCGCCGTCGCTTTGTAAGCGTCTTCGTCCGATTGCTCTTCATCACTGCTGACATTATAGAAAGAGCTTCCTTGATTAACGCTCTTCTTTCGCAAGTCACCTGTACTTATGGAGGTTACTTTGCCTCTTGTTAAAATATGGGCTGCTAGCTGTAATCCAGGACTTCCTTCTGTAGTGGACAAAGTGTTATTGGCAGCTAGACGAGTTGGCTGCGTCACAGGATTAGGCCATCCTTCTGGCGATGTGTAGTTGTAAGCGGTAACCCTAGGTTGATTGCTCTGCAAAGTACTTGTCAGCCTTGGAGCATCCTCTGCGCATTCAGTTGAGAGCGGTTCAAGACACAGTGGGCTAGGTTTGTTCGAAGAACTAGACGTGTTAGTAGTCTTTGCAAAACGGTAGTTTAACCGATCTAGTAAGTTCATCGCAGTTTCCTCTTCTGACTATATGTAACTACGTCAGGATGTTGCAAGTTGCCTCCAATCCTTCATTCCTCGGAACATTTCACGTTGTTACTACATTTTGTAGGAAAAGACATAAGAACACGCTAATAAGTCTGCTTACATTAAGCTCGGATACGTTTCACGGTAAAACATATGCCATTAGCCGTAAGTAAACAAAAGGAGTACGCACTATCTGCGGAATCCATTTTGTGAATTTTGTTCGCGGTTCGAGAACGAACGTCGCTGATTCTGCGGCAACTGTAATGCATCTCTAAAAACAAGTTGTTCAGTTTATTGAGTGACTTTAACTGATCACTTGGATACTTTCCGTTATTACAATATAAACATAAATAACTGACGATACCTACTGTGAAACAAAAAAATTACAGTACTTCACTAATCCAGGTAATCAAATTCACCTTCTAGAATACAGTGACAAAATATTTTGGAGGATATTACTCTGCTGACATGGGTCACTATGAAATATTAAGCCGCCATGCCCCTTAACATTTAGGTATCTCTGTCAACCAACGAGTTTTGATTGTCCTACAGTATCTCACTACGTAGATTACATACGTATAGAAATGATCAAGTATACAACCAAATGTGTGGGCCAAAAATAATTTCAGGATACCACCGATATATTCCTCTTTTATTTTAAAGTGTTACTGTTTGAAGTTCATTAAAATTTGGCGATCATACTGTTAAAACGTTTCCATAGAAGACCCGCTTAACATTTCAGATCTGCACACAAACACAGTAGACTTTTCAGCGTTTCTTAACTAACGGTGATGCGACTGCAAATAGATTACTGACATCATCTGCAGTGACGCTGATGCAACCACTCACGTAGTGTGGTTTCGAGACG